TTCCAGAACAGCTCTGAGAGAACCGTGACTAACCCAAGGTCACACCAACAGCTGCATGTGGAGGAGAGCACAAGGCCCTTCAGAGACAGTATATATAGAGTCAGTCCTGTAGATATGTTGGTCCCAGTCCGCATAGGGCTTTGAAGGTAAGAACCAAGATCTTGAACTTGATCTGGAATTCAACTGAGAGCCAATGCAGCTGGTGCAGCAGCGGTTGTCTATGTGCTCTCAGCGGTGCCCCTGTGAGGACATGTGCGGCTGCATTTTGTACCAGCTGCAGTTTCCAGATCAGTCTCAAGGGTAGCCCAGCATATAGCAAGTTACAGTCATCCAGCCTGGAGGTGACTGTTGCATGGATCACCGTAGCTAGGTTGCAGGGGGAAAGGTAGGGGATCAGTTGTTTGACTTGCTGCAGATGGAAAAATGCAGATCTTGCAACTGCTGTGACTTGGACCTCCATAGAAAGTGAGGCATTATAATATCCATTTTCTTTTCAATCCCTTTTCTGATAATCCCTAACAAAGTTTGCTTTTTTCACTGTTGCAGCACTCTGATTTGACACTTTCTTTGAGCTATCCATTATGACCCCAAGATCTTTTCCCCTTTCAGTCTCAGAAAGTTCAGACCCCATTAGCCTGTACTTGAAGCTGGGATCTTTTTTGTCCCAATGTGTATGTTTACCCTTCCCAACACTGAATTTCATTTGCCACATTGTCACCCACTCACCCAATTTGCGAAGATCATCTTGGAGCTCTTCACAGTCTGCCTCGGTTTTCACCATCCTCAATAATTTTGTGTCATCTGCAAACTTGGCCATAACCCTACTCACCCCCTAGTTCCAGCTCATTTATGCTGGGCACAGCCTATGCTCATCAGAATCCTGTGATTCTCAGGACACCAAGGTGGTGGCAGCGATGTGTGGTGGTGCTGGATTTTCTGGACTCCATGGGTGGTTATGGGCTACTTTATGGGTTTTGTTGGTGTAATTTTCCTCTGGTTCTAGAGGGCAGTCCTAGACTGCAGTGGACTCAGGGAGCTGACTAACTTCTACTGTGCCCCTGGGCCTCTGCCCTCCCAGCACTGGGAATTGTACCAGAGACACTCTGGCAGGGGGATGTGGTGATGCTGTGCCAGTGCTTGGCTCCAGCACAGTGACACCAGTATATGCTTATATATCTCCAAGATACACCACAGAGTGGTCAGTTGGCACCCTGAGCACTTTTGCCTCCCCCCCCCCAAACTGCACTGTGAAGAGGACAAAAAAAAAAGCTTGCTTAAGTCCACTTAATGAGTTTCTGGCTGCATTAAAATTTAAAGAAGGAATTTCTAATTTGTAGTTAATTCTCTTGGGGTTAAGACATTAGATGTGTGACCAGATCCCTCTAGTAAAACTGGCATAGGTGTCTGGGTGGCAGATTCTGATATTGGCCACAGTGCTGGGAAAGAATATTTTAACCATCTCAACTGTGCTGGTTTCCTAGTCTGATGGATCCAGTCTGCGCACCTCATTCTGAAGATAAAATTCCAGACTTCTCTGGGTCCTTAAAAAACTCGGAACACAGCAAACAGGAAACAATCCTAGCATTAAGGAATGGGACGATCGCCACCAGGCTCAAGGAGCTTGTTGAATGCACACCTGAAATCTGTGTAATCATATGTATACATCATACTACACACGTGTAATTGAAGTTGCCTTGTCTAGACTGTTTTTGTATCAATTTTTGGAGGCATTCAGTGACAATATTGTATACTTTGTGGGCGGTAGTAGATTAAAGGTCAACAATCAATGTTCTAAATGTTTCAGACAACCTAAATTTGTTGATATTTCATTTTTTTTTTTTACCTGTGTCATGCATTTCTGTGAAGCTGCATCATATGTCCTGGTACTGATCTTCATTGTTCAGTTTTATAAATGTTGTGTGCTTGTACTTAGAGTCTAAACATCTTCTCCGCCCATTTTGTTATTGCCTGCAATGAAGACTTTTTTCCAGTTTTGCAAAATTATAGACGAGGGTGTTAACAGTGTCATCAGTTCAGAATGAGAAATATCAGACAAAAGATATAAATGTAATTTATCCAAGCAGATTTTGTAGGACTGCAGTTTAAATATAGATGGTGGATATTACATTGGTGAAAACAGCAAAAAGTGATCCAACCTTGACTCAACAGGATTATACATATTTTTCTTGCTAGCATCAAAGGCAATCCAGAACTGATATGGCAAGATTATTAATGAATATATATAATTTATTTTACTTAATTTATACTCCACCCTCCCTGCAAGAGCAGGCTCAGGGTGGCTTACAAAGTTTGATACATAAATAACAATTAAAATCCACAAAATCATCTAAAAACAGTTCCGTTATAAACAATCCTATATAATATATAGGATACAATGATCTATTGGACACAATTTTGAGGTTTCTCCTACTGGACAAAACAGTGATAAAATTGTTTTTTAAAAAGAGATCAGGTTGTTCCTTGAAGTTAATAGAAAGTGTTTGAAGTCTGTATTCATGAGTATTTTAATGCAGTGACAGCAGCTAAGAACAGAGAAAATAAATAGTTTAAGGATCTAGAAACAACATTAAAATATATAAAACAAGAAGCACTCAGAGAGTGAAAGATATTTAAAGAACCATTCTTAAATGTGCAGGTGATGGGAAAAGCATTATTGTTTATAAAACTTCCCCCCCAAATATAGAAATATATGGGAATTATTGCTGCACCAAAAAAAAGTACAATCCCCCACTTTGCCCAGCAAATCGCCAGTTTGGTGTAGTGGCTAAGTGCGCAGATTCTAATCTGGGAGAACTGGGTTTGATTCCCCACTCCTCCACTTGCAGCTGCTGGATGACCTTGGGCAAGTCATAGTTCTGTCAGAGGTGTTCTTGAAAAAAGCAGTCTCTGTCAGAGCTCTCTCAGCCCCACCTACCTCACAGGGTGCCTGTTGTGGGGAGGGGAAGGGAAAGGAGTTTATAAGCTGCTCTGAGACTCCAAGTGAAGGGCGGGGTATAAATCCAACCTCCTCCTCCTCTTCTTCTAGATGTTTTAAGACAAGATTCAGTGGTTACAACATCATTGCAACTATTTCATAGCATATGATGTTGCTGTGTATAGTCAGCCTATGCCAGTACATCGGGAAGAAGCAGAACTGCATCACTTCTGACAGCCACCATCACCAGATGCAGTATAGAGGTATGACACAATGGTATGAGATGGAGAAAGGGCAGAACAGGAAAAGAGAAACTCCTTTTACTTTAATATGAAGCCCACCCCATTTTGAAGGCTTCGGATGTGTAACAAAATGAATGAAGCAGATATAGTGTACGTGGCACACCAAAGGTGCTTCAGCCAACCAGCAGTCAGCAGTACTGGACTACTCAATGTGTCTGAATCATGGGGACAATTAAGTGTTTTCATGGGATTATAAGTCACATGCAAAAGGATATGACTTGCTTCAGCACTCCACTTCATCATGTGTAGTCACGGCTACACAGACCTTCACTTATAAAAATCTTTGGAAACATGAGTAAAACAAGGGTGGCTAAGAAGCTGGGATATCTGTCTCACCAACTCCTCTGAAGCTGCAAAATTACAACATGAGAAGCATTCCTCCAAATATGTGCCATCTGGCTAACTAAATGCCAGTAACAGACTTTACAGAAACGACATTGCTATATGAAAAAGAACAAGCCACTGAATCCTACTTATCAGATGACCTCTCATTTTGAAGGTAATGATGTCATTGTATGTACTAGTAACTAGGTATTCTTTATTGTTGTCTTGAGTTTAGCACCTAGAAGTGTATCATTAACAAGATGTGAAGAATAAACAAAACTTGCTATGATTCTATTTTTAAAGCAACAACAATTACTTTCAGGAAAATTGGACTACATTTCATGATTTTTGGCATGTGGCTATGTACGCCAGTGTGCATTACTGAGATGTGATTATGATGGAAATTATAACAAATAAATAATACTACAAAAGATTGATACAGCTATTATATCATGAAAGACAGCTGTTTCAGAGTGAGTGTGGATTTCCTAATAATAGTTTCTGTGATAAAAATGGCACACAATTTATTTCTATGTTTGTTTTAAAAATATTTAGAAGCAATGAGGATGGCAGGAACAAACTTTCTAAAATTCCATTTTTGCTTTTTCCAAAAAAGCATCTTGTGTCTTTCAGTTTATGTTCTGTAGCTCTTTCAAAATATTACTTTTACATTCATTGGTTGTATTCACTGCATTGACAGAACCCAATTGTGCCACAATTCTGAATAGTTGTTGAGCATTGTATCCATCATATCTCATGATGTAATGAATACTCTGTGCACTGCAATGTTTCATTGACTATAGTGACTGAACTATATGGCTGCTGGCTGTTATATGTATATGTATAGACTCCAGTTATCTTATTTATGGAAGTCACTGCAAAAGGCAGTTTCAGAATCAATAGCAGTTCAGCAGTTCCAGAAGCGGTGGCGTGATGTGATTATGCTTTTATGTCATCCACATTCTACCATCACCCCAACAGCTGGGAAAACGGGGTATCAAATATGATTGTAAGAATCCGCACATCTCATTGAGCAAACTCTTCGACCCCGCAGTGCAGAAAGCAACCCTGTTAAAAGTGGCACAACTCCGGGAGTGAAATTTGTTACAGGCTACTATGGAGCGGTAATTAATTCCTTTTTAATGTGGTAACTCCCACCTTCTGCTTTTTCCCTTCTCCATTTTATCATCACAACAAGCTGCGAGAAAGTCAGCCGAGAAGCCTGATAACTGAGGGGGAATCTGAACCCCCTTTTCCCAGTCCGACACGCCTGACAGCAGCGGTCCCACCTTCCTCCCCAGGGAAGCCCCAGCACACCCCTGCGCCGGAATACCAAATCCCCGCGTTTTTTCCCCTCTCCCTCACCCAATAAACACCCTTGTCACGTGAGCCGTCCCATTCACGTGCGCAGTCCGCACAGAAGCCGCGCGCCCGCCCTGGCCCTCGAACTCTGCTCGCGAATGAGAGACGTAGCAGGGCCGAGGCCACGGCGGTGACGGCGGCCGCCCACAGCCAGGCGCCCAGAGCCGGCCTCCAACCCGGGGCTGCTGCTCCTCCACGCTCCGTCCGGTCGGCAGCAACTTCAGCCTCTCCCGAGCGCAGGAGAGGCGGGACTCTTCTGCCGAAGCTGCTTCCTGCTCAGCTGAGAAGCAGGAACGAGCCCACTGGTGAGAGCCGACTCGACGCAGAAAGGCGCCGCCATGGCCTCGCTCTTTAAGAAGAAAACAGTGGACGGTGAGTGTGTGTGTGGAGCTCCTTAGTGGATATGGGGACGGTGGTCTGTTCACAGTCCCCTTGGGAGACGGAGTCCTCCTCTTCCATTGATCGACAGGCGCAACTACAGCCTCGCCATAGAGCAGACTCTTGGCTCTGTCATCTTCCTTCTTAGCGTTTAGGAAGGTCTAGCACTAACTTATTGAAGAAATAAAATTCTGTTGGGCTTAAAGGTGTCCCTGGACTCAAACGTTGTTCTTATGTCTACTCTGAACTGACCTGGGGTAGAGGCGGCTATCTCAGATTAGACGGTTTGGACGAATGACCATTCCATTGGTTCCCCCATCTATCTACTGCTTCCCATTGCCACCTTTCAGCATCCCCCACCGAAAGTTTCTTACCGTTTCCCCACATTTAATCAAGTTAACTGGCAGTCTGCCTAGGGTTTCCGTGGACGGCGTTCCCTGCAACCTCCTTCAGTGGGCCATAAGTCAGGGGTGTGTGTTTCGGTTTGAATTCTGTATGGGTTAAGGTGGCTGTTTGTGCAAGAGAGGAAGAGAGAAGAAAATCAGCATGACTCATCCTTATGTGTAAGTGTTTGTCGCACACAGAAGCACCTTAAGGAACTGGTACACTATGACATTGGTACACTTGGTGATTAAACCTGGAGCTAGTTCACGCTTTTAAAAGTATGTCAGAGTTCTAAAGAACCGTTTTTTCCAGCTGATATAAGAAATGACTAGAAATGCTTTAAAAAGTTTTAAGTTTAAAAATACACACCATGGGAACATGATGCATTGTTCACTAAAGCATGAACTTTCTTTCCTGTTTGGAACAGCCGATCTGCTTAGCATTGGCACTGAAGTCTGGTTCCTAGATTTAACAGAAGCTCTTAGTGTTCTGTTCTAAATGATGTTCTTTATTATTTTTACTACATAGTTGCTTGGCATAAAATGTTTATTGTTTTCTTTAGGGAATGGGTGGGGGGCTTGCATTTTAGTTTATAACAGATTTTTAAAGCAGCAGTCACAAGATAAAAAAGAAGAAATTTTATGTTGTGATTCACTTGAATCGCTGTTTGGAGGGATTTGTTTAGTTCCTTAGAGGTCTAGTGGGCTAAATCACACTTAATGATACTGCTTTCTGGTAAACTTTGTTTGAGAGAAACATTTCCTTTATGAATTGTACAGGATCTATTGTTTATCTCTTGCCTCTTAAAACAAACATATTGTTGGTTATGTGATATTCATAAATCAGTATATGGGCAGTCATTTTATTAGAATAGATCATGGAGGGGAAAAACATATATTCCATTCACTAATTACATTGCACCACAGGAGTCTAGATACTCCCACCCCCAATTGCTTGGCTGGAAAAGAATTTGAATGCAGAATTGTAGTGGCAGTGCTGGGTCGCTCAGCTTTCTTCTAATATAAATTTGCAGAGTTTACTAACTTGCTGTGTTTCTCCTGTTAAATGAGAACTAGACAATAGGGTGAATACAGACCAGTTTACTGTACAGTATGATTTTCAGTCAGGTAGTTGTTCATCTGTCTAAGCACACAACTGTAATCCCCCCCCCCCGAGATGCATGGTGAATTTGGGGATCTTTACAAAGCTGTATTTTCCACATGAATGTATTAATAAATCACAAGCCAATGCCCAAGAGGAATAATCTGGCATAGAAATGAAGAATAAATTATTGTGAAACTTTTTGCCCAATCCAAATATTGCTGTCCGCCATACTGTGGGGGTAAATTGCTTCTTCTATCTGTTTTTCTCTCCCTTCCACCATTCTCTGCATTCTGTGGCTCTTGGAGCCTCAGTTCTTATCAGGATGTTTGGGAGGAGGGCTGTACTATACAAAGACACCTTTTTCTATGCCCTAGGGCACTGGTTCCCAAAGTGGGCAATACCGCCCCCCTGGGGGGCGCTGAAATGATCCAGGTGGGCGGTAGGAGCCTTGGGTGCAATTGGGGGGGCGTTGAATAAAAATAATGGGGCGGTGGAAACATAAAGAAAGAAGAGTCCAGAACCTATCTAAAGAAGCCTTTTCTTGCCTTCTCCTGGTCTTCCCTGGGATCAGGGAGGGAGGTGGAGAGGGGTCCCCACAGCCAATCACAGCCCTGCATTTGCAAATTGCAAATGCATGTGCACCCTTGTAAGACTGGTGTTGCTGCTGGGCTACTGTGTGGTGTTTGCTGCTGGCCTCTGGCTTCAGGCCAACATCATCTTTCTTTACTTACATCTTTCTTTACTATGTGCTAATTTGTCACTGCATCTTTATGTCCGCTTCTTGAAGGTAGATTTCCAGGGGGGCACTGGGTAATTTTTTTTCTGAAAAGGGGGCAGTAGGCCAAATAAGTTTGGGAACCTCTGCCCTAGGGAATCCCTTGAATGTGTAGAAAACCCTGCCTTATTTGGAGCTGGCCTGTTTTGTCCTGGTTTCATAATTGATATGAGCCATCCACTTTACTATTGGATGTATAGTAGTAGTAATTTTGATAGTTGTCATTGAGTGGTGAATATATTTCTTCCAACAGTTTAATTTGTTTTCCATGTGTACTGTTGATACTTAGTGGTTCGTTACCATTTTATCACATTGTGTCGTTAGTATGCATAAACATTCTAATGATACATTATAAAAATGATGCTGCCATTATAATAAACATTAGTGAGTGTTTGAAGAATTACTTTGTTAAAGAAATCCTGTATATGTATGTGTTTTGTTTTATCGAAAATGCAGATATATGGGATTGATATTTTCCATTGCATCCCCTTATCCACACTAATTCCTCTTTTTCCCTCCTCCTGGCAGCCACCATAACTTCACCTTCCCTTTTCCCTTATCTCCTTCCCACTCCAGTGAACATAACTTTTATCTGCCCCTATCTTCAGCTATATTTATTATTTATTTACATTTATATCATCATTTCTCCACATTAGGGACCCATAGTAGCTTACATCATTCTTCTCTCTTCCATTTTATCCTCACAACAACCCTGTGAGGTAAATTAGGCTGAGGATGAATAACTGGCCAAAGGTCACCAGTGAGCTTCCGTGGCATAGCAGGGAATCAAACCATATCCTGGTCTGAAACCACTATACCACGCTGGCTTTCATGAGTTGGCCGCTTTTGAACAGTAACAAGCAGGTAGACCTGGGAAAGTACTCTGAGTGGTAGTATGTATCCTAATAGTTGCTGGCAAATCCGGCCCCACTGAGTCCTCCCTCAAAGGCCAGAACACTGCTAAAAAGAGCCTTGACCACTCCGCCCCCCACTTTTTAGTAACAGAAACAAAGGCTTGAAGGCTGGCAATAATGTTTTTGCCTAGCAAAGGCCTGTGGGGTTGTTTGTTTCTTAAAGCTATATAGCATTTGTTTCTATGGAGGGGTTAATCCCACTGACAGCTTGTTTTTTAAATTACAACTCAGATCTTTCTGAGAACCTGGAGTGTCTTTCAGGTATTTAAAAAGATCTGTCTTGTCTGCTTATGGTTCTGGTGTCCGGATTTAAGTATCCACTGATTTGACTTTGTTGAGAATTAGATATACTGGCAAGCGGAACCTGCAAGGACTTGTGGGAAGCATCTCAATCCCCCCCCACTACTACTTATTTCATTTTCCTGAAAGCCCCCATAGCCTCCCCCCTTTTTCCTACTTCCTTCTTGGGTTGCCAACCTCCAGGTGGGGCCTGGAGATCTCCTGGAATTACAACAGATCTCCCAGCTACAGTGATCAATTCCCTTTTAGGATTGCCAGCTCTGAGTTAGGAAATTCCTGGCAGATGTGGGGGTGGAGCCTTGGGGAGCAAGGTTTAGGGAGGGAATGGTCCTATAATGCCATAGACTCCACAATCCAATGCAGCCATTTTATCCAGGGGAACTGATATCTGTCAGTTGAAGAGCAATTATAATTCTGGTGGTCCTCAGCCCCCACTTGGAGGTTGGCAATCCTAGTACCCATGGAGGAAATGACTGCTTTGGAGGGAGGACTCTGTGGCATTGTACCCTTCTAGGTCCTTCCTTTCTTCAAGCTGCATGCTCCCTAGGCTCCATCCCCCAAATCTCTAGGAATTTCCTAACCTATCTCTGTCTCCTGACCCTATCTCCTTCCTACTCAACAGCCAACCTGGAAAGGGCTTCATTCCTTTGTCTTTTTATTGACAGAACCAAGCTTGGTTGCCTAGCAACAACCACTGAGGGAAAAGTTAGTCCTACAGGAGCCAAGCAGGAGAAGTGTCTTCGTATGGAGAGACAACTGTTTGACAGTTATTCTGACAGGGAACAGTGGCTGAGGTGGCAGTGGGCAAGGAAGAGAAGTGGACCCAGCCCCCAGCCAATGGCATGCAAGTAGTCTTGAGTGGCGGTTGATGGGCCAATGGCTGATGCAGCACTGGGAGAGCTGGAAATGGCCAATACGTAAGGGAAGTATTATTAATGATAGCAAAGTTGGCAAAATCTGAGGATATGTAAATCTGGTGACTGTAGCTATGAATGGGCAAGACAGATCTTTCTACAAACCTAAAAAGGGCCCTAGGTTTGCAGAAATATTTAAATTTTGTTTAAAAAACCCAAAATATTTGGGAGTTGAAAAAAACAGAAAATGATTTAAAGAGCACCTGTAACTTTAAGCAACAGATTTCCTAAATAACTGTCACTAGGCAATCATAGTATTCCAGCCTGAGTAAAAGGGCAGGGGAAAAGGGCAGGGTCCTTTCCAGGCCTACTTTTGGCCTTTGAGGGAGAGCTCATTGGGGCCAGGCTTAGCATTGCCAGCTTCAGGTTGGGAAATCCTGGAGATTTTGTGGAGCCTGAGTAGGGCTCAGCTGAATACAGTGCCATGAAGTTCACCATCCAAAGCAGCCATTTTCTCCAGGAGGACAGATCTTTGTTCTCTGCAGTTCAGCTGTAATTTCGGGAGATCTCCAGGCTCAACCTGGAGACTGGCAACCCTAGGTATGGCAGCAACCACTGGGTGACTTGATATCACCCGACTTGATATCAGCCAGCTAGGCCTGG